GGGGGGGGGGGGCTGCTTGGGGCAAGCTTTGCCTTCCTGGGTGGGATTCAGGGCCGGGGACCGCATGGAGGGCCTGGGAGACCCACCTCTCCTGCCCTGTGCTTGCAGGCTGCCTGTCAGCGTCACCACTTGGTCTACCGTTGTGCCATGACGTGGAAGCAGAAGGCGCTTTGCCGGAAGCCCAGCCCGGCACTTTTGGGTGCTCCCGCCAAGAAGCACGTGACTTTCGAGGTGCCAAGGCCAGGCCTCGTCCCTGCTGGACTGCCCAGGGGGAAGGTCAGCCTTTCCGGTGTGCCGAGCGACTGCCAGGCTGCTGGAGACTCCGTCCTGACAGGCTTGTGAGTCAGCACCTCGAATCAGAGAATGGAAGAGTTGGAAGAGGCCTCAAAGACCATCTAGTCCAACCCCCGCCCAGTGCAGGATTCCACTCTTAGAGCACCCCCCTCCTGCAAAGGAGAGCCCAGCGCCTCTGTTCCGTTCATGAACTGCTCTTGCGGTTAGGAAATTAAACTCCGGTGGAAATCTGCCTCTTACCTTACCTGGAACAACCCTGGACAATTCTGCCCCATCTTCCACATGACAGACAGTTGAAGACGCTCTCCCGTCTTCCCACAACCTCCTTTCCTCCGGGCTAAGACTTGCAGGGCCTCCAGCTGCTCCTCCTCACATTTTCCTTCCAGCTCCTTCTCACCTTGGTTGCTCATCCCTGAACACGCTCCAGTTTGGCAGGTCCTTCCTAAATTGCATGCCCAGAACTGGACCCAGGATACTAAGTGGAGCGTGGCTAATGGGGATGAGAGAGCAACAGTGCCTTCTCTGTGTCTGGACCCTGTTCTTTGGCTGATGCAGCCTAGGACTGGATTTGCTTTTTTTGCAGCTGCATCACGCTATTGGCTCCTCTTCGGCTTGCGATCTCCCTGCAAAGAACGAGCAACAGAAGAGTTAATGCGTGCAAGAGACCGCCCCCCCCCCAGCCCAGACTGTCAGAGCCCCTTCCTCTTACGTTCTCTTTCCCTATCTGCAAGGGGAGTGACATCCTCCCTCGAGGCCTCCTGGATGCCCCGCTTGAGAGAGACTGCCTTGAATCGTTGGGCTGGCAGTGGGAGCAACCACGTTCCCTCCAGGGGCCCCTTTAGATAGCTTCAGGTCAGAGGCACAAGGCTGTCTGGCAAGGGTGGGCCTCTGGAGCTGGTTTCCCCCGCTGCCTGCCTTAACCTGGGCTGGGCGCCGCTTGATGGCCTCTTTGCCTCCGTAGTCCTAGATAAAGGGGCCGGGGGATGGAGGAGGAGAGTTTGGCTGACCCATCAGTTCGTGCAAAGCCGCTTTGTGTGTGTCCTGCTGGTGGATGTGCGGCTGAATTCTGCAGCTGCCCCGGGGCGCCAAGCAAGCAATACTTTGCTCCTGCCCACAGGTACGCGGCTCGCCAGGTGAGGCTGCAGCCTCGTAGACCCGATTTCCTGCTACCATTTCCTGAGAGTAGGGAGCTGCCTCAGCCAGGGAAGGGGTAAGTAGACAACAAGAACGGTGGAAAGAGTCAAGTCAGGGTTCTAGTCCTCATGGGTTTGGTACACAGCTAAACGGGGCACCTTTTTGCTTCCTCTTGATGTGTGGCTGGACTGAGCAGTAGCCGGAGTGGCCCGTTCCACCTCGGACTCTGCTCTGGGCCATTCCGAGGTCAGTCTCTCAGCTGGCACTTTTCTGGCTCCTGGATTGCCGCCAATCGTGAGCAGATTCAGCCATGCAAATACGTTTGTTCCAATCTCCAGTTGCACAATTCCAGCTTCCTCTGACAGATAAGCCAGTTTATGACTGTTAAAGAAGAGCCTGTTAAATAATAACCCATGAGCAGATAACAGCGTGGCTTTGCTGCATCTCCGATTTCAGGGACCACAAGTCCCTGGCTGGTCTCCAAGGAGGGTTTGTCCCTGGACAGCAAGGGCCTCCTGCCAGCTCCAGACTACGCCCAGGGAAGTTTACAGTTATCAGCGTAGACCTGGCTGTGGGGAAAGTGCGGGGGCTGCATTCAGCCCTACGCCTGAAGTTGCTCTTTTGGGTGTGATAGCTTCCGGCTGCAGTAAAGAGACCTTGGTGCTGTAGGAAAGGCGCATGGATATTCCCCAAGTTAAAAGACTTTTGGAAAAGCCCTGAGCATTTGTACAAAAACTATCAAACGTTCCTTTTTTTTCCCCCAGGCTGGAAACCTCGACTGCTTTTTTTCAGCCAACGGAAGCAGACCCCCTCTTGTCTGCCCCCCCCAGCAGCGGCCCTTCACTATCCCTTTTCAGTGGCTGCGGTTACTCACCATGTTCCTTTCCCAAACCTGGGCTGTTGCCCCCTGGAAGTCCTTGGCCCCACGGCCCCACTGGTGCTGCCCCAGAGCTGCGGCCCCCCTCCTCCTTCATGCTGGGGACGCAGAGGGCGAGCCTCGAGGCGGTGAGTGTCTGGCAGGCCACATCTGCTCTACTGCTCCCTCCAGCCCAGGGGCAGGCACTGGGTCTGGCTTGTGGCGTTCCACGTGGAGGCTCCCGGTTCCAAAGGCTCCCGGTCCAGCTTCCGGCCCAGGGGCGTGGAGCGCCCTGCCATGGGCTTCAAGCTGGACCAGTGAGCCACGGGCGTGATTGTCTTTTTTGCCTTTCAGTAGCATTCCCCCGGCCCTCCTGCTGCAGCCCCTGGCAAGGAGAGGGCAGCCGTGGTTGCAAAGGCTCCTTTGCTTGTGCCTGAAGATTTTACTAGAAGAAGGAGTCCTCCTCTTTGTGGAAAAGCAGGTAACGGGAATTCCACGCCTTTTTCGATCTGAGGCGCTTTCAGAAGAAACATTTTTCCTTCACTGATGAGGAGAGTTGCCTGCTTCACGCAAGGGATGTGTGGAGAATAAGGGAGAGGAGCTGGACAGCAATATGCCAGCATCGTTACGTAAGCCAGGAGCGTTGAAACGTTCCTTGAGTCTGGAGGGGCGAGAGAGGATTTGGAAGCGACTCGGGCAGACCCCCCCGATTCACTGGGGCATAAGAAGGAGGGGAGGTAAAGCACAATCAGACCTGCGTGATTCTGTCACCAGAGCCAACCTCAACAGAGCCTAGCTCTAGTCTTCCCATGGAGTGGGTTTCTGGCAGTTGCTTCTTAGGAGGCTGTACTTGGAGTGGCTTTTGAATCGGGTTGGAGAACCAGCAACTGGAGCAAAGGAGTGTGGGAAGTGCTTTTGCTTCTGGGATGTGGTCTCCCTCTGGCTGAGCAAGACTCGAGATCAGCCTCGGAGGAAACTAGAAGCATCCACGCTCCCCAGCCTGGAGGAGGGTCAGGCTGCAAGAGATGTTTGTACATTTCAGAAGTAGCCACTGCCACCACCTGATTGATGAATGACTCTTGCCTGAATTCATAGGATCCAAGCTTATCAAAAAGATAAGGCATTACCAAAAACTGACTGGGAAAGGGTAGAATGTCACATTATTGGAAATTCTGTTCCTGGGTTTTTGGTCCTCCACCAGCCTCAGTCCCAAGATAGGAGAAGGGGAGGTGATTCTCCAGGACACTTTGATGGCAATCAGGGCCATGTCTCTGATGCGACAGGCTGTGAGGTTGGGCTGTAAAGGCAAGCTGGGGGTCCTTTCATGTACCACCTGACTTACTGCATGGCAGGATCACTTCCGGAGATCCTGGAACTGGTTTCCGCATCGGTGTTGGAGTGTCCCTGGCTTGTGGTGCCGGGCAACTTTAACTTCCATGCTCTGGGAGAGAGTTCCAGGGAGTCTCAGTAATTTAGAGTCATCGTAGCGCCAATGGGCTTGTGCCATATAGTAGTTGGCCCAACCCAATTAGGTCTGATCTTTATATCAAAGCAATTGATGCATGATCTGAATCTGGAGAATGTTACGGTTAGTCTGTTGCCATAGATCACTCTCAGATTTGTATGAGGCTCACCTCTGTTTAGAAAGACATATTAGAATGGCCCATCCTATGCATGTGATCACCCAGATGGATCTCTGAGGGGTTCCCCTCAGAGATCCATCTGGGTGATCACATGCATAGGATGTGCATAGTAAGCAGTTCTGCTGAGTACCTGGCTGGCTTCTGGTACATGGAGAAAGCCAGAATGCTTGACAAGATTGCATCCAAGCTGCTGCCGTCACCTGCAGATTCTGGAGAGTTCCTTGGTCAAGGAACCCCAGGAGATGAAGCAGCAGAAGAGACTAGATATGTACTTGACCAAACACAGGTAAGGTTGATGTTAAGGCATGCCCCATGATGAAGCGTTCTTCCTTTTTCCTACATGAGCAAAAAGTGCCCAATTAGCCATTTTCTGGATTACCTGCTCTCTTCTGGGAGGTGAAACTCAAGATCTACTGGAGGGCTACCATGAGATGTTTGTGCAATGTGTTGCTGATAAAATCACACAAATTTGCTCAGGCCTGGATTCTGAACGGACAATGTCTGATGAAATGAGGGGGGTAATGACTTGCAAGCTTCTCTGGGATTCTTTGTGGCTTGGTGATTCTGAGCAAGTGGATGGAGTAGTCTGCAGAATGGGCTCTGCAACCTGTGGGCTAGATCTGTACCTAACCTGGCTTCTACTTGAGGTTGTGTGAAGGGCTGGATCAGGAAAATGGCCAGTGCTTAAGGGGCAGTTGCAGTTGTTGGTGCTAGAGTGGGAGGGGTCACCCTGGTGGCTCTTCCTTTGTGGGGTGCTACAGGGGTTGCCCCTCTGATCCTGCTCTTCAGCATGTCCAGGAAAACATTGAGGGAAGTCATCAGCCAGTTTGGAGTGAAGTATTTGCAATATACTGATGATGCCTGGATATTTATGGCTATTCCAGGCTAAGCCAGAAATGGTGTGGAAATCTTGACCCGGTGCCAGGAAGGTGTGTGGGACTGGATGGGAGCAAGCTAAGAGTGAGTCCTGGCAAGGCAGAAGTGCTGTTTGTCCTGAAATCATCTGGTCTTCTTTGGTTCCATTGTAAATTTGGATGGAGCTGTGCTCCCCTGAGGAACATAGGTCCATGACTTGGAGATTATCCTGGTCTCGTTCTTAGATAGCCACATGGAAGCCATGACTAGGGGGCAGCACTAATTGCAGCTCCACCTGAAGCAGGATGCCCTGGCAATAGTTACTCATGGTCTTATCACCTCTAGGGTGGACTACTGCAGCGTGGGGATGTCTGTGGAGGCATTTGGAAGCTGCAGGCGATGCAGAACGGGCCCACCTTGTGAGCATGGCACTAATGTTGCAGGGCTAATGTTGCAGGGCTGCATTAGTTGCCAGTCAGCTTCCAAGATCCATTTGAAATGTTACTCATTACCTATAATAAGCCATAGATGGCTTGGCACCTGGGTACCTTCGGGTACAGTTGTCCACTTTCTGCTTGAGGAAGTTGAGACCATTGAGACTGTGAGGAAGAACAAGGAAATGATGTTTTTCTGTAAACGCTCTGTCCTGTGGGGTTCCTTTGGCCAGAATGGTCCCCTCACTGGTGGTTTCGAGATGGGTGGTCAAGACCAGATTGTTCTGGGGAGCATTTGGTACTTGATGTTACTGAGCTTTCACCCTGGGGATGACAACTGTTTTAATTAGATAGACCATTGCATTTTTGGGTTTTATTGTTGGACTGTGTGTAAAACACTAGGAATCCATGTCGAATCAGCAGAATGTGAATGTTACAATTAGCTCTTTTCCCAAAGCTGCTTTTCATTCCCCCTTTTAGAAAAATGTAAAATGGCATGTGGTAGGGAAAATAATGAAACTCAGCTCAATCCAGTGTACTTAAGAAAGAAGCAGGGAGAAATTCTGAAATGTTTTGAAAGTAGGTCCTTGGAGCTTCATAGGCACGGCCAGAACTTGACTTTTGCCAAAGAAAATCTATATATTTGGATGACAGTTGCTTAGCTTTTCAAGCAAAAGATTTGGATGGTCTTGATATGAGGAATGATCTGACCATGTTTCCTCCTGGCAATCCCTGCTCATACCTGCTGAACGAGGCTGTGAAAGTGACCAGTCTGTATAAATTTTGGCAAGTTCTAGAGATAATTTCTAGAAGGAAAGTAGGATGGGAAGAATGTCCCAAAGACTTAGCAACTTACCTCCTTTTTGTTTTAGGAACCAAACAGAGGGAGGCTGAAATTCAACAACTGGAGGACGAGCTCCAACTTATTGGGCAAAAAATGCAGCATTACTACAACCAGCAGCAGGAACTGAAGTGTGTACCAAAAACGTCTTTCCTGTTACGATTCGGGGGTTGGTTTCCGCGTTTCAGCTTGTCAGCAGAGCAGAAGCGCCAGAAGCATCCCTTTGCTGCCGAGGACGGTCAGGAAGCCCTTCTTCTGTAGGGCTGCAGAGCAGGGCTCTCGTCCGATGATCTGCCCTGCCTTGGGCTACCTGCTGTCCACGCCTTCCTCGTCCAGAGATGCTGAGAGCATCCTTCGGAAAACAGTGCTGCTGCAGAGGATAAAGGACGTGGGCGGGGGGAAGCCAGGGCTGCCTTTGTCTGAGAGGGAGAGGGGTCCCCAAGGAGTTACAGCTCTCCAGGGCTCACCCTCTTGCCAGAGCACGGGTTTCAAGCTCAGCCTGATTTGTCTGCATCAGTTAAAGGGCCAGCTCCCTTCCCCTCTTGCGTTTCCTGTGAGACGGCATTGAAATGGGGCTGGGTGCCACCCAATGTCTTTGGGAAGCCAAGTTGGTGGCGGATGGAAATCGTTCTCTAGGAGGATGTGGAAGGCAGCTGCTGGGTTGGCTAGCTGGAGGGGCAGATGGTGGCTTTGTAGAGGCCAGAGCAGGTTGGAAACCAAGACCCATGTGAAGAAGGGTGGCCTGCTCTATCCATGGTGCACCAGGAGTCCTCTCAATAGTCAACATTTGCTTTGGAAGAGGTTTTGCCATCCAGCTTCCTTCTTTTTTATATTTCTATTACTGTTTCTAATTAATGGTTTGATTTGTTTTTACTTTCATTTAAAAAATAAAATAGTCCATCATCTGTAAAAGCAGAAACAGTTGATGTGGGCTTTGGGTGGGGATCCTTTGCCTGTTGCTTCTGTTGGTTCTCTGCAAGAACAGGAACCTGTTTTGGCTTGCCTTTTAGGTCATGCCAGCGGCAGGAACGCCTCCTGTGCAAGTGGCTGGAATTGAGAGGAGGGGTCGAGGAACCTACAGATGCGCAGGAAATCCGTGAGAAGCTGAGCCAGGTATCCACCTGAGGCCTCTGGTGCCATTGTGAGAAAGGGGGCCATCAGATCGGCCGGAACAAACTGCTGCAGCGTTTCAGCTTTTTCAGGATGAGCAGAAATGAGCCTTATAGTTCCCCCCTCTGCCCCCACCCCAAAAACACATGCTGTCTGGCTTTGAGAGGACCTTAGTTTCTTTCTTGTCCTGGAGTTGTAGCACTGAGCATAGAATCCTACGTTTACCTTCATATCATTTTAAAGACAGGCATCTCAGCGAAAATAACAAAGTTGAAAACTGGGACATTACAGAAACTGGAGGAGCTGTTAATAGACGAGGTTGTTTTGTGCCTTTCCCTATCACAACAAAATGTCCTGATTTTCTTAGTACAGGATCTCCTTAACTGTGTAATATAACATATCCCCAAGGTCTGAATCCTGTAGCAGATGTTACTGGGCTGAGCTTGATGGCTGCAGCTGACAGATTAATTGGTCGGAAGAACAATCCTCCAGAATCCTGAGAATGGGCACCTGTGTCGCAATTCGCAAGTTGCTCAGCATCCTCCGTTCCCCTTTCCGTGGTACATGCAAGCAAGAAGTAGAGGTTAAACTGATTGGTTTCTAATTAGACACAAGCTTAAGGCTCAGACCAGGGTTTCTCAACCTTGGCAACTTTAAGATGTGTGGCTGGGGAATTCTGGGAGTTGAAGTCCACAGATCTTAAAGCTGCCAAGGTTGAGAAACCCTGGTTTAGATCATAGAATTGGAAGGGCCCTAACCAGTCATCCAGTCCAACCACAATACTCTTGTCCAGGATTCACTGGAACATCTGACAGATGACCATCCAGCCTGTTTCAAGACTTCCAGCAAGAGAGAGCTCATACTGCCTTCGTAGGGTACCTTGTACCACTGGCTGGCAGCTCATACAATGAGGAGGTTCCTCCTGATGTCTAGCCTGAACCTCCTTCCTTGTAGCTTTAAACCCTTGGTTCTGGTCCTGCCCTTTGGGGCAGTAGAGAAGCAGCCCCTGTGTGGCATCTTCAGATACTGAAAGGCTGCTGTCATCATAGCTGGTCTTCATGATTTCTTCTGTAGATTAAACACACCCACATTCCTTAACTTTTCTGCGTAGGCCGTGGGTTGCAGACCCTTCACCATCTTCTGAACTCACTCCAGTTTGCCCCTGCCCTTTTTGAACTGTGGTGCCCAGAACTGGAGCCAATATTCCAAGCAGATCTTGACCAAGGTAAAGGAGAGAGGAACAGTGACTTCCCCTGACTTCTGTGCTCCTGTTAATACACTCCAGAACAACATTTGCCTGTTTGTAGCAGAGGCATTACACTGCTGACCCACGTTTTGGCTGAAAAATCTCCTTGGGGTAAATGAAGCTGCTCTTGCTTCCCGCAATTCCCTTTGAGGAATAATACTTAGAATTGATCTGGCAGCTCATAGTGATCGAGGACCTGCAGAAAGGCAGAGCCAGGTGCCTCTGAATTGGTTTTTGCTCATGGAAAAATTTTTAGGATTAAGAAAGCTAGCAATAGTTTCAGAAAGATAGAGCACGCCATCTTTCTGTAGATGAGTCGGGCTGTTGCTCAGCCACATAATTCCTGCTTTTTTGCAGCTGAAGGTACAGATTGGCTCACTTGTAAGCACGTTGGAAGGAGGGCGGCAGCTGATGCAGAAGTACGTGAACCGTGTCCAGGATATCCGAGCTGCTCTGAAGACCTAAGTATCTCCATTGTCTGCATGATCCCACAGTAGAGGACTTGTCTCTCTCCCTTGCTTCTGCAAGGCCAGAGAAGCTGCACCCACTGGCTTAGACTAGTCTGTGCATCCCTCGGAGGACCGACAAACTGAACCACCCCAGGAAGGAGGGGACTTGCTTTTAAGAACGCATCTAGAGCATTGGACTGCAAGAAAAATGTATTTCTTTGCATAAATTAAACACTTTAAAAGTCAAAGCACAGTCCTTATTTTTATTTTAAAACATTTGCCATTAATGAGTTAATGTCTTAAGTTGTACATTTTGACATACAAAAATACTGTGCTACTGATACAGTTGAAAAATAAAAGGATTCTCCATGTTGGAGAAATTCACAGCGTCACCAAGAAACCCACTCCCATTTGTTTAGGGTTTGGGTGACCCCCTAAGCCCACAAGGAGCTTCGCAGGACCTGGCCCAGAACAACCTTCCTACAGAGACCAACTACTAGGGGCTCCTGTACAGCAGGACAATTAGAGTAACAAGAAAACTAAAGGCTCAGAGTTGTACTGCAATGCAAGCAAAGAGGAAGCAAGTAATTCCTCTGCACTGATGGAGCAAGGCACTGCTGTCTATCATACATTTCATAATGTCTCCCTTGGGCCCAATGGCAGCAGACCCCATGATGATGGTGTAGGATTAAAGAGCTGTTTTCTGGTTAAGGAATTCATTTCTGCATTGTGGGGAGGGAGGGAGACCAGCCAGCACAAAGGACAATTCTCTGCCTTTCATTCCTCACAGCCACAGAAAAAGGCCATTGTCATAGGTATGCAGCCTCAAACAGTACGTGCATCTAATCACGTCTTGCTCTTCACTTAGCCATGGCATGGTTGTCTCCTAAAACTGCTGGCCATAAAAAAAGGACAGCTTTTGGAGGTGTGGCATAACCCAAAGTCTGATGCATAGAAAATGATATTTCAGGGTAACACAGAATGTATTGTGATTAATTCAGATTCCTCCTCAGCCTCATCCTCGAATAGCTCCAGCAGAGAATTAAAAAGTTAATACATAGGAGAAGAAATGAGAATTATTCAAAGTTCCTAATGGTGTTTTTAAGTAGTCCTGGGCGGAGTCCACCTTGCCACGTCCCAGGACATGGCGACTAAAGTAGCTGCACACGGGGAAGAGAAGCCAACGCTAGGCCCTCGTAGTGGGACTAGTGTGCATTTGCACGAGCCCGGTTTAACAAACAAGGAGATCTGAGATCTCCCAGGCAACACAGGAAAAGGCCCAGCACAGCAAGACAGTGTCTGAAGTTGGCGTAAGCTAGAGGTGTGGGTCAACTGGGCTCCTCAAATCAAAGGCAAGACGAGTCAGATGCTGAGTCTGGACACTGTTTGAGGCTCAAGTGCAGCGCAAACCTCTGCTTTAAAGGGAGAGAACTAGATTTTTAGCAGGTTTCAGATCTCAAGCTGCAAGGATGTCCGTTTTTTCTGTCTACCCCCACCTTCCTCTAGGATTGGACTGCAAAATTGGTGTGAAGTAGATAACTTGAATTTGAGGGCTAATGAGGCTTCTGTAAATCGGATCCTATCCCTTTAAAGAAGAGAGCTTTCTGCCGCTTTCCTTCCTCCTCTTGACTGCACATCCAATGCAGATTTTGAGCAGCTGTGCAAAGGCAGGCTGCGTTCTGAGCAGGAGGAAGACACTGCCGCCACCCCAGGCCCGAAGGGAAGAAAAGCCACCTGGTCAACGTTCTTAAAGGCCACAATCCGTGATAAACCTGCAACTCTCACGAGGGGAAGACCCAGGCACCCCCACATGAAGACCAAGGACTCGGTTCTCTTCACTCAGGTCCTGCTGAGCAATACTCCGCCATAGAGAAAGGCTTCCTTGTATGACCGGAGTCCCTGTCCATAGAAAAGCCCCTCCCCATCTGACCACAGGGGCCTTAGATGGAGCCTAAAGCCTCCCCAAAGCGGATTTTCTGGCCAGGCTTCAAGTAAAAATTAAAGTCTTTAGGTGCCTCAAAGATCAGAACGATTGTTGAGCCTAAATTAAATTCTCCTAAATGCTCTCCTTTCCTCATAGGAATGCCTTCGTGGTTCTTGCTGGTTGCAAAGCTGAAATCGTTGTAAGACCCTTTGCTGTACTGAGGGCTGTTGGTCTGCAGCTTCTGCGAAGAGGGAGGAGCAGGAAAAAGGCTGTTACTCTGTGGGCGGGGAGGACCGCGTTGCCTGCGCTCAGGCCAGCCTGCCACCTGGATTGTCCACCTATTGCCTGAATCATTTTTTGGGTGTTAAAAATGGGCAAGGCTAAGGGAGGAACCAAACAGTGGTGGTTCTGCCTGGTCCTCAGAAGGGGGACCTTCCTCTCCTGTGGGAAGTGCTGCTAGCCTTTGGCCCAACTTGTGTGGACTCACAGCACCATGAGCAGCTTTCCAGGGTTAGCAAACCCTCTAACGTGACCCCCACCAACTCAATCACCTGTTGGCCCTCCAGATATTCTGGAACAAGGTCTCCCTGTACCTCTGGGCAGCTGGGCAGATCCCACCAGCACAAAAATGGTCTCCCTTTCTACAACTGAAGAAGCCAAAGATCCCCCCCTTGGGC